AAGAAGAAATCACTTCTTACTTTTTAAAGTTAATTTTCTCCAAAAATATATTTTCTTTATGCTCTATCAGATTATACCAATACTGTAACTAATTTTATGTTTTATTATACAGTTTTTACCAAGAGATTCATTTTGTGTAGACAAATAGGATATCTCTTGGAAAAATCGTTAGAATATAGTCTTTGTAAAGAACATGTTTTGATTTTAACTTATAAATTTAATATATATTTTTGCTGCTGCAGAACTATATATACCATCACTCCATTTAATTATCTCCTTGATCAATATACTTATTGATCTGGGATTACCTTGCAACTTTTTTTAAGACCTTATAAGGATTCCATCCATCATTCAATCTAAAAAGTTGACTTATTGTTAGAGTGGACAGGTGGAAGACAGGAAAATGTCAAATGGTCAGCCATTCTGATTTCTAATAAATAGCTTTATTTCATCTACTTTAAATATATAGTTGACAAATTGACTAATTAACTTTTGAAAAATTATAGGTAAGGCTAAAATCTGAAGACATACCGGTAAATTTTATATTGACCTTAACCTTCATGTATCTCTGAGTAGTTGTTTTGCAAATGGCAACTTCATTTCATTTTATTCAGTTATAAAAATCGCAGTCAAGGACTGACAATGATACTTATACAATAATACAGAACAGTATATAAAAGCATCAAAGGATTACATACTGCACAGACATTCAGAAAAAGAATAAAAACATAAGAAATTGTATTGAAAATTAGATCAGTAAAATAAGGTTACTTTTCACTCCCATGATATTTTCCAGATGCAAACACACATCAAAATTTACTATAGATATTGATTTTACACCAAAAAAGAACTAAATGCCTACTTCTCAAAAACCCCTGAACATTAAACATTTCAAGACTTACAATATAAAATTGGTAGATTTAATTGTATGTTGTGTAGCTCTTAAGATCCCATGTTACTGCACAAAGGTTTGTGTTTTTGAGAAAAGTATTCAGTTCGTATTAATTTAAATTTTCACTAATCTTGCACTGCAGTCATTTCAGATGATATCAATAGAAGTTATCATTTTCCAAATGTCTTGTTTGTTATTTTTTGAATTATTTCTAAGATAGATTGTTATTCTTTGGAAAAATCAACCTTTTACTCAGCATTGTTTGTTTTCAATAATAAATCTCGTAAAAAGTCATAACGTCAGTTGATAATCCGATGGACATTATGGCTTTTCTTCTCGTGGAAGTGTGCTACAATTGGTTATTTTCTCTGGATGGCTCCAGGCTGTTTGCTGACCAATCCATGGTCAGCTTTTCATTACCAAATCTGGTTCAGTTGTAAAATGATATTCAGAATTCTGAAATTTACAATTCAGTGTACCACTGAAGGCTCTGCTTTGTGTACTTCTAATTTAGTTAGTTGATTGCGATGATCAATGAAATTTCATATACAGTATTCTGTTTTTTGTGTTTTTTTTTTTTTAGCAAATTAGCAAAATATAATTGTATGGTGTTTGAAAATGCCAGTTTTCAAGCGTTCAATCCAGGCTCCAGAGAGAAACAAGGATTGTATGTTGACACTGAATAATTGTTAAAAGAAATATATTAGCTGTAATAAAATTTTCAAATATTTAATAACTGGGGAATAATAATAATAATAATCCTAATAATAATAATAATAATAATAATAATAATAATAATAATGATAATAATAGATGGATTTATATAGTGCAAAAACAGTTGAGTTCTTTCTTAAAGTACCAATGGACGAAGAGTCACAAACTTCAACAGGTAGTGTACATGTTTACTAGAAATCCCCTCCAGAGAAAAGCACCCAATATTTTGCACCTTTTTGACCTGCCAGGGAGCGAACATGGCAAAAATGTGAAGCATTTCGAGACATTTCTGACATAGGAGGTGCTATTTATTTATTTACTTGAACTTACACTTTCGTTACTGTAGCACTCATCTATTGACAAAGACGAACAACAAATATTATTAACTAAAGTTTGTAATAAAATTAAAACCAAAATCTAATAAATTTTTAATAAAAATTGGAACACTGTTGCCCAGGTTGGCTAAAGAGTTCATCCTACACATTTGTGATACATCTTCCACTTTGCTTCCCTGCAGGCACCACGGTACATTCATTCCTATTGAATTTTTGGAGACCATTTCAATCGAAATTAATTGCATCCTATTCATTTTGTGCTCCTGGTTGAAGAGAGAATTAAGGTGCCTTGCCAAAGGCCACAATCAACCCAGCATTGTACAGTAGACTGTGACCTCTTTAAGCATTAACTTTGAAGCCTGAGGGACACCATCTAGAGCATGCTCAAATCATACCTCTATGATTCTAGGGTCAAGATATCAATGAGGCCTAAAGCATAAAGAAATTTAAGCATAAAGCATAAAGAAATTTAAGCATAAAGCATAAAGAAATTTCCTGAAGCATAAAGAAATTTCCATCTATTTTGCTAAAACAAACATAAAAAATAGATGTCAGCATTAGATTAGAAAAAAAAAGGCATGAATGCAGAATAATTAGCACAGGACATGACATTTATTTAGCACACACAGCCATGGCATAGGATAGGAGACAGTTATTATATTTTATACCTATTTTTAATTCAATAATAGTCATCTAAATGCAATTATCATTTTCATTAATATATAATACTGTAGTGGTTGGGCAGTCGTGCATCTCAGTCTCACATCCTTAAGGTCAGTGTCAATAATGTCATTATAGTGCTTATGTCTTTTAATACTATATCTGCAGAGAGAGAATGAAACAAGAGCAAATAAGAAAGAGAATATATAAATAAGGAAAGAAATTTATAGTAATAATTAAAAATGATAATTATTATTGTTTATTATTTATATTTTTATTATTTAATATTAATTTTATTTTAATTATTATCATTTGTCATCATCATTGTTATCATTAATATCATTACTATTGGATTGTCATGGTATAATGTTACACCATATTTCCACTAAAAGCACTGACACAATTTTATTGCAAGCGCGTTTAAGTAGGTTTATATGTTATTTGATGAAGTTAATAGCAAAAGATGGTTTTATGTTTTGCGTTTATCTTTCCATGGACTGGATAGTCCATTGCTAGAAGGTTTGGTGTATAATAATTAGTCTAAAGTGCTACATATGCAGTGTACTTTATTTTAATGAATAGTAGTAATTGTTATTTATTAATTTAAGTGTCCATATAGAATGAAAGTACAAGTGTTTGAATGTTAATTGATTGCAGATTCTTCTTGAAACCTGTGAAGTCGGCTGAAATTTATCCTGGGGATGGATCAGTCATCACATTGCAGGACTCCAGAGGGCAGTATTTCACACATACAGTGGTCAACAAGGATGGTTTAACTACTGACAAGATGTTCAAGGTCAACAATCAAACACTGCTGAGTAGCAATTCACCTCAGGCTGCCCTAATTAGGATGGTCAACAAAGCTTTCAGGTTATTAATATTTTCTATTTTCTGTTACATTTTTATGAGTGTGTCAAGAAAAGAGTACAGTATCGCTGTTTTGCTCTATATTTTCAGACAGTATAAAGATAGACTCCTGATAGAAACTTGAGTATACTGCAGAAACTAGGTCAAAATTACTCTAGCAAGGTGCTGTCACCTTTTGGTCATCTGTCAACACACTGTATTTGGCATGCGTGTCAAATCAAATGAACTGAAATGAATATTAACACATGCGATTTTACACAAAAATGCACATTCCATTTTACCAGAAATTTCACTACCACAGCATAGAGTATATTAGGCTATTGTCAGCCACAAATTTATTTATGCTTAATGTGTAGCACTTACCAAATACAATACAGTTTGGTGATTGTTGGCAGTTGGAGCTAATCATCAATAAAAACAAATCTGCCGCATAATATATTGTTACATTTGCGATCGTGGAACCACGTTTTCTGCTTATACAGTATGTACAGGATTTTCGGTTTGCCTTCTGATTTCAAAGTACAATAAGTCTTCCATACGTCCAGATAGTTTCTTGTGTGTAAAAACAAATCCAGTCTTACAATTGCATATGATTAAAAATACACTCTCAATCCTCATTATGGCATGTTCACATAGAAACTTTGAACTTTGACATGTACAGGTTTTTATATTTCAGCATCATTGAAAACAGTCAAACAATTGAACCCTTAGCATCCATTGGCTTAATTAGGATTTAATTTACAAATATCAATTGCAAAATTACAAAAATATATTTTAAACTTATTTATTTATTATGTTGAAAAATATTATACAAAAATTCATGCTGTACTGATTTTTGATCAGTTAATATCATTTAATAGTGGTTATATCATTCAAAAAACAAATCATTGTGTTGTTCATCTACTTTATAAAAACAATTGAGCATCAGTATGGAAGTTATCTACTCCTACTGAATCTCATTATTTAGAAGCTTAATAATTAATATAGTTATCACATACTGTAGTTTAAATCCTGGGACAGGGCCATAGCCACCAGTACGGTTTCAACCTGACCACTTTTTGACAGACCTAGCTACTCTTGTCTGTCCACAACAGGGGATGTATGAACCAGTATACCAGGGTATACCCCTACTCATCTAGAAAGATGTGCTGGACTGCACACAGCCCAAAGTGTGTACACTGGGTCTACGGTTTATATAATAGTCCTTATCCGAGAAGACTTGTTCCACCACCGAAACCATAGGCGAGCGTGCCGTTCGAACCATCGCTGGTATTATGGCTGTAGGTTGTGGCACCCCTGCACTAACCGCTCGGCCGTCTAACTCGCCATGTATTGATTAAAAGTGTACCGTAGCAATAGCAATATTATTTTTTGTTCATAGGTCTAACCTTAGATTTGTGTCAATGTCAAAAAAACATTTTGTTGTTACTAAAATAACAACAATGCTGTGTGAGTAACAATCTTTCTCGTGAATAAACCTGTCTGTTTTAAATTCAAGGTGTTTTTATTGTTGTGCTTCATCATAGCCCTGATGGAAGTTTAAAACATATTTTTTTAAAAAATATTTTAAAACTATGTATAAGATTATTACTACAGAACATCATTAAAACTAGTTTATTCAATGTAAAAATAGCAAAATTTTCCCGGGGGCCTTTGCCCCTGAATCCAGTACGGGGGCCCTCCTTGGCGCCTCCCCCCCCCCCCCCCAGTTGAGGAGAAAATAAAAATAAAATTTTGTTGGTGTATAAAAACAGTGTAGTAATGGGATGGTTAAATGCTTTAAATGTATATATAATTAGGAAGAAATATATATTGAAATAAATTCATCTGGTTTGTTTATTATATACAAATTTTCTTTTGTGAATAAACCAGTCATAAATTAGCCGAAACTTTTCATGGATTACAATCCAGTAATATTATCAAGTGACATTTTTGGATATTTCAAGGTAGCGGCTGCTGTAATAAAAAGAAAAGCAAAATTTTTCTGAAATTTCCTTTTTTTCATTGCAATAGGTGCAATAATTGGCCTAAAATAAAATTGTATTTTATTCGAAATCATCAATATTGGCGAGCTGCGTGTTGGCTATTAAACAAGACCTGTAAAAAAATTCCCGCCTTGTTAGAAACGTTCAAGATATTGTTTGGTTAGGAAATTATTATTAGTACCTATTACTAGTTTATCAATCTATTAGTATTTTTTTGTTTTTCCAGTGACAGAAAAAATGTGGTTACTCTTTAAATGTACGAGGATATTTCCATGTCCCACCGAAAAATGTTTTGACTGCCTATTTTTGGGTGATGACACACAGTTTGTGTAGCACATAGTTTAAATGACATAGTGGTCTTTTGTCAATATGAACTTGTTGTAGGTCCAGAATGCTTGTTTCTTCAAGCATGCTTCAAGTTCTATTTTCTTCCCTTCTCACAGACCTATTATTAAATCTAAACTTTTCATTTGTTTATTTAAACATTGTCAAATCAATTAAAATTTCTTGGTGCACTAAACTTTTGTTCATGTACAATCAGAGTGTTTCTAGGTAAAAGCTTTTTCATCTTAAGAATTGAATGATCAGTGGTGGTGCATAATAACATGATGTAAACACCTCACTACTATGTATCTTCATTAATTAGATCGGCTGAATATTTTTTATGCACGTGAAACATGCAGCTTGAGACAATTAAAAAGCAATGAATTTAATGAAAGGTGCCTTCTGGCAGAGCATGCAGAAATGCCTCACTTATAACACATCTTAACCCCAAAAAATGCAATCATGTTAGGAGTCATTGCATAGGTTCCAGATGGTAATTAAATTTCATACCTATTCATGCAAGAAAAGGAAGACATACTAGTTCCTGATAGTTGGTAATTAACTGATTTTAACTATGGAAATAATTCTGCATGAACGCCCAAAGAGAGACATCACTGTTTGGCGTGTAGGCCTATTGTGTGTGAAAACCATAAAGATAGCCATAGGCAGTGATAGTAATTGATTTTTACTACCAAGAATTTGATTCATATAATGGTACAGATTGGCCTGGCTAACATATCATAATACATAATGTACAGTACTTAATTGATAATAACATGCAGATACCGCAGTTGAGCCTGATGCTGAGATAAAGAACATTTGATGTGTGATAAGATTAGGGTGTTTTTAGGGAAGCTATACCATGCTTCTGAGGAGGTTTTAGATCTAGTTGATTGAATGGACTTCTGGAGAATTGGTGATTTTTATAATGAGCATTCAGAAGAATGACCATCCAAAGTAATGGCTATTCAAATTCTTGAAAAAATTTGTATTGACCATAAAAAATTGACCATTAAAATTGACAGTATTGACCATTATTGAGTATTAAAAAAAAATGTTTAATATACCTATACTATACATACATGACATTGTTTAATACTTTAACATTTCATTTAAAATTTAAAATATTAATAGGTCCATGTTTTTAGGTATGTTTTTCAGTTGCCTACTTGCAGACTAAACAAATTCTTGTCATTATGCTGCCACTGCCAGAGTTTTATTAAATAGAATACTATTAAATTTGTCTTATCAGAAGTGTTGCGACTTCAAAATACAGTACGCACGCATCATTGTTTGTTCATATAATTTCAACCTCAGAGAATAAGCGATGAATAAGTAATGTTTTAGTATAAACTTTATAAACATTTATATTTATAAATTGATAGTTTTGTTGTATTGATTGGCCGGTGCATGTCTTTTAATATTTTAAAGCTACCTATTATTTATCACCGTTTTCACGAAGTGACACAAACTTCAAAAATCATATTTTTTCAATTTTTTTTTCTTTGACATTTGGTTATGTACATCAAACTTTACCTTTTCATCTAATTTTTAAGAGTGGAACTACACTAATTAGCTAATTAAGCTAATTAGCCATTGCACACAAACCGAGAAAAATGGATTTTTCGTTTTCACGAACAGACACAAACTTTCATTGGGTTATTAAAAGACGCATGTGCGGCATTGCAATCGTTGTGATCGCTAGTAAAGGCCTAGCTTGGCTAGGGCTAGATGTAAAAATTAGATTTCCCTAGCTTACCTAGGCATATTGGTACCCTTCTTGCAATATAACTTGGGACTAGGTCTATACATGTGCATCAAATGTGGAATTATTCATAAAAAAATAATGATTAAAGCAGGATAAGCCAAAATTGTAGGTCTGTTTTCGTCCTTGACTACAACAATGGTTAACACATAGCTAAAATATATTTTGTGCAAGTTTGTGGCTTAACAACGGGTACGCGTACAGCGCATATTGTTTTCACGAAGAGATACAAACTTCACTCTACATGTAAACAACATATGCTGTGTTTATTCTGATCGTTTTCACGAACAGACAAAAACTTTTCACGCTAATTAACAGGTTGATTATAGTTAAGGAAAGAAAAATAAATTACACATTTGTATTGCTTAATGCTTTATCTTTAAAAATATGTAAAAAAAATATTCAAAATTCTGTTTATATCTTGATAGTGAAATTTATGGATTTGTGAAGTAGTCCACTTCAAACGCGTTTTTCTCAAAACATAGTTTTCGTCGAAATTGACGTTTGTGTACTCACTCGACAGTTTTTCTTGTGATAATCAATGTTAATAAATAACTAATATATACAGAGCTCCCTCAAATTAAAGACCACCTCACAAATATAAACCACTTTTCTGTGACCTTAAATTAACAAATAAGTGCCTTTTATCTGTATTCTTCTAACTACAGACCAAAGCTGCTAAAACCATGGAAACCTCAGTCCCAAAAGTGGCGGATACTGTTCCTGAAATTTTCTGTTTTTAGCTTTCAAAATCATAGATATGAAAGTCAATGGGGACTTTAACTACAGTAATTCATTATTAAGATGTTGTATTTATAATAGTATGTAATTAGTAATTACTGTGTAGTTTTTTATCTACCATAAAGGTAAATAGTGAAAATACAAAACTTGCTGTAATACCATAATAAATTAAAGTAGGGCTTTTTAATTCTGTTTTAGATTACTTTAATTAGCTGTTCATCATTATTTTTTTGTCAATTAGAGAAAACCTGCTAAAGAGTGATGTGAATATTAGTAATGCAAATTGAGCCTGACTTCAGTGAAAGTTATTTTCTCACATTTTTTTTTTGTAGCTTCACTCATGTGTTCATTTTTATTTATTTTGATCAGTAACGTTTATGATTTCCTGTTGTGGATGTTACTGTGACCTGCTTTCGAGAGCCACTGAAAAATAATTATTTTGGTGTTAATCTATAGATGTGACAGTATTACTATGTGTACAGGAAAATATGTATTGAATTTGTACAGTAGAATATTCAAATTTGTAGAATTTACAAGGTCTGATTGAAAAATAGCAGATGACTCAAGAGACCATGGGTGGTCATTAACAATGTATTCCAAGTATTAATTAAAACAATATATGAATGTAGGTTCTGTGTACTTTCATACTAGCAGATTCCGTATATTAAAAAATGATGAGATGTGATATCAGATGAGACAAGAAGTATTATTATAATAATAATTATTTTATTTTTGGACTAAAGTGGCCCCTGAATATCAGCTTTTTTTTGACGAAACTGTCTTTAATTAAAACTCATTGAAATAATAAATAAATAAATAAAATGAACATCCCAATGCATAGTACCCCCAGTACCCCTTTTAATGATATTTTTTAGCTTTTGTTTTTTTTTAACCCACCACCTGTCTGATGGTGATTTTGAATTTAATTTTTGGCATGTTAGCCCAACCGCCATTTTGGAAAAAAAAAAAATTAAAATTGAAAAGTGTCCTTATTTTGGTTGTAACTTTAACCACCATAATAGAATCTTTCGATAACTTAAATCTCTGTTTCACAGTTTAAATAAATTAAGCACTCAATCTAATTACTGAACTGTTTACAGTACTGTACATCGCATTATTTCACATCCATAAAATTGAATTTTGATTAAGGGCCTAAGGACATCATCTGTTTATTTTCTTTTATTCTCCCACTCACTTTCTATTCTCCCAATTTTGTTATCAATATATATATTTAGAAGAATTATATATATATACTTGCTTTGGCAGAACCATTCTTCTAAAAGGAAAAACAGTTTTTTTAAACAGGACAGGCTATAAACAGTTTTTAAGTTTCTTGATTTTCTTCTTTTTTTTTAGATTGTTGAGTGTTATGCCTTACAGTAAAAACAGTTCCACGGAGGTTTGTTGGAAGGTAAGAAGATTGATGTAGTTGAATAATTGACAATATAGTGTCCAATCAGCCAATGTGTACAAGTGTATTATAATAAGTGCTTTATTATTCAAGAAATGTTGCATACTTTTTAATATCTTTAAAGTAAAGCCAGGCACACATTGTGTGGATGCGATTTCGTAGAAAGCACAACTCAAGGAGGCGCGCACAATGGCTCGTTTACAATGACGATCCACTGAGACTGTCCCCAAAAATCAATAGATGGAACACAGATAGCAGAGATGGATTCATCATACGATGATTGTACGACCATTGTATGACACAGTGTTTTCCCGGCTATTTTCTATTTTTCATGTGGTAGATCATTCCAACGGTTTGATGAGTAATATGGGAAGGTTCTTTTTTTTTTGACAAATTTTCTATGGCCCTAGGCTTCTAACGGTGGTACAAATAAAGTATGAGTTTGGCTGCATATGAATTTTAAATCTACGGTATTAAGGATAAATTTTGATTATAAATATGGAGAAGCACATTCTTTTACACATTTGAAAGTCATGAGAATCAATTGTTCGTATTCCACATTGAGTCTTCTCTAGCCAAAGGAAATTAGCTTTGAAGTAAAAGCCATTGGTAATCATTTTATTGAAACTCGTTGGGTAATATGAACACATATTTGTTGTAAATTTACTTTAGATTGAAGGCCGTCTGAATATAGCTAATCATAACAATAATATTCAAATTAATGGTGGATTTTGCATTATGGTATAGAATGAGTAGGAATGTGTCAAATGTTGATTATGCCAATCTAATAAACTGAAATATGTTTAAAAAAAAAAAAATTCTTTCTTTGCTCAGATTTTGGAACCACCGGTGCAAATAGAAAAAAAACAACTGGCAGTCATTATAGAAGAGACCACTGTCCCTGGTCTAGGTTACTTTACCGCCTTTTTAGATGGTCGTATAAGGATAGTGTTTGCAGATCGCACAATATTGAACATGGAAGCAGATGACCACAAGGTCATGAGGGTAAGGATCTTTCTTTTTGACATGTGAAGCCCGGTCACACTGTTTCTGACAAAAATAATATCCAGCTTTGTAAAAGCACTACCTAAACCTTTTGCCAAGGGATACAAGCCACTGGCGATGTTGTTCTACACATGGTCATTGGATCCAAGATCATGCTAGCTCAAAGTGCAAACTTCTCCACTCCCTGGGGAGTATTCCTAGCCATGCTTGCAATTTATTGCCAATACAATACACATTCAATGCCACATCTTCCTACCTAGTACCCATTTTTACTTGTGGGTGGAGAGAGACAAATATTATAGGTACAGTAGTGTAGTGCCTTGCCTGCCTTGCCCAAGGACACAAGTGAAATACACAGCAAAATGCTGACCTCAATGTTGAGAGACCGAAACGTAAGCGCTGCGCTAACCACTCTCACATTCAATTTAATTAGCCTCTGCCTCCCCTCCATGGAGTGAAGCTCCATGGAGGCTATTGTTTTTGCCTATGTTCTTCTTCATATTGTCTTCGTCGTTGTTGTTATAGTCGCTGTCGCTGTTGGTCATTTGTTTGTTACCACAATAACTAAAGTTTGGTAAGTCCGATTGATTTCAAACTTGGCAGAATGCAAGATGGTGATAAAAAGATAGAACTATTGTTTTTGGTACGTGTGTAAATATGCTAATTACTCATTTGCATAACTAATATTTCACTAAATTCAGGTAATTAAGGCTAGTTACCATTTGTAAGTTCGATTGGTTTCAAACTTGGCAGAATGCAAGATGGCAATATAAAGACTTAGCCTTGTTTTTGGTATGTGTGTAAATATACTAATTGCTCATTTGCATAATTAATAATTCACTAATCAAGAAGTTTATGCTAAAAACCATCATGATTCTCAAAAAGGTAGTGAAATTGTAATATTTTTTTCATGATAAATTGTCCTCGTTGTAGTAAATTGTTTGTTACCACAGAAGCTAAAATTTGGTAAGTCTGATTGGTTTCAAACCAATCTACTTATAGATTCTCAGAGAATAATCACACTGTGGGGAGGCTATGCTTTTTACTGCGCAGCGTAAAAAGAGCATTTCTAGTTAAATATTTCAATGAGGGAATTTTTTTACAAGGTTGTAAGAACAATATAGTGTGATTTTTCTTGTCATAGTATGGTACTCTCACCAAATTCAATGGGGCTAAACTTAAACAGAATAATGAAAACTGCCAATAAAATTATAGGTAAAAATCTGGCAAATGTAATGTTACAAGATACTGTAGACACAATGAATCATGAACTCAGAAAGCTATAGAAGATACTGATTATCTGGAATGATCAAGACGTTATACATAAACTCGGGCAGAATTTGACAACTGAATTTAAATTAAAACACTCAAGGCATTCATTTATTCACAACCCTATTATGTAACTGATATCTCAACATATGAGCAATAATACAGTGATTTCATTTTTTTTTTTGTATTAGTTGGTTCTGGTTTAACAGTACTATAGAATTTTTAATTTGATTATTTTATATTTTATTTCCTGATTACTGTGTGTCCAAGAACAATACTGTATATATTATTTGCTTCTTGTTTTGCTAACAATATATCACAATAATATTGAAAATAACAGTGTTTAAATCAACACCATATCATTTAAATTGCAAAATGAATGTTATGTATTTTTACCAAATGGTGGTACAATCACAAGGATAATTTGTCATAGGAATTGTGTAGAATTTCTATATCAGGATTAGTGATATATTTTAATTGATTTAAATTCTAAAATTGCAGTGTCGATTTTCCTATGTTTATAAAGTAGTAGCCTTGTTGAATAGCGGTGGAATCTATTGTATTTAATACTGATGCTCTCAGCCTGTTACAGTTTACAATTTCAAATTAAGTATAGTATTAGGCACAAAAGGATAATAGTAAACATTACTTTTTTGGTCTCAGCATGACTCGTCTGTCTGCTTACATATGCAGGTGAGTTCATGGACTTTACTACATTGCAGCCATGGAATTTAAGAATAAACAGAGACTCAAAAGTAATTTTAACATCAACCTTTGTGTGGAAAATATATAGTTCTGCAGGCTGAATTCATCGGTTTTCATTACTAATAACACATTCGATAGCTAAACTAACATGACTACGATTTCAAGTAACGGAACACTATCCATTGAATATTGAATGTAAATCAATTATACAATATGATTAATTCTGGAGTAGAAATTCTATACAAATTCATGAAAGCTTAGTCTTGAGACAAGGCATAATTGAAATGTCAGTACATTTAATAATATGTTTTCAGAATGTAGAGGAAATAACAGAGGGTTTCTAAAGATGAACAGAAGGTTTCAAAAGATGATGCCTGTATCTCGGAAGTTGTTGAATAAGTTTATTCATACACTTGTTCTTTATTCAGCCCAAAAAATCCTTTGTCTATATTTCTCCTTAACGTTGTTAAAATTTCCCTTTTTTAGCGGCAGTTTTTTCACCTTAAGGTATTATTTCTTACCCTTTCCATTGTTATCGTTTCCCCCATGGTAGTATATAGTCGTATATATATATATATATATATATATATGGGTTATCCTGGTGTTCCCAATTTGATGTAATGCGAATTTGTGAATAAACAATCCAACAACTACTATGAAAGTGAAAACTATTAACTTAATATTGATTTACACAATATGAAATTAAATTTTGTATTAAAAACAATGAGAATTATAGGTTGCTCATCAAGTTTTACCTACTTCCTGGTTCACAGTCATAATAATAATAATAATAATAATAATAATACAAATGTAGTAATGTATCTAATAAAGTATATGAAACTTACGAACGACATGTTTTGACGTGTCCCACGTCAACATCAGGTAATAACGCTAAATGCTACTAATGGTTTAAATACTACCAGTCAGATTTGAGACGAAACAAGCAAATATTAAAGGTAAGTCATGTATATAGAAGTCAGAAAGACTATGGTTTAAAGTCATGTATATAGGAATTAGAATTAGAGAGTGATACTGTTTGAGTTGTTTGTTTGTTCAGTGATGGAATTCCCCAAGCAATGTAAAGTTCTTCTTTTATTTTAAGTTGATAAGTATTGTGGGCCAAGTCAAGAATAGTAAAACAGCCTGAATTAGATGTGTTTTGACATTTAACGGAGTTTTGAAGATGAAATATATGTGATGACTTGTCCCGAACTAAATGCTCCTTAATCCGTGTTTGTATTGTGTCTATTGGTCTCGCCAATATACACGGAGTTATACCCCGCGCAAGTAAATTTGTAGACAACACAGGCTCGGAGATTAGTTGGGACATAGTCTTTTACATTAAAAAAATTTGATAATTTATATGACTTGAAAGCAATCTGACATACATGTTAGAGCAATAATTTTTAACCATAACATTAATTTTTTGTTAACAATAGCTTGATAATGGTGTATGGGGTAACTTGAAATAAGAATGTTGTGTTTGCGTTTTAGGAGGATCCAAAGTGGTGGGCGATAGTTTTCTGTTCAGATAGTTATGTGTTGTTTTATTAATTAATGAAATCTGGCAACAATTTTTTTGAAAAGTGAGTACAAGTTTTCTTAAATTGTTATGAATGTAAACATCACAGTTATGTATGATGATGTATTTTTATTGCATGAGAAATTTTGTCTTTGTTGCACATTCATGTATGATTGTTAATGTTTCCAGTCATTAAGATAATAAGGATGAACGTGCATAGACGTGTTTGTCTAAAAATACACCGATAATGACAGTGTTAGTTGTATATATAGTTTATACAGACTAGCTTTAATTGAGCCACAAATCTTTGTTCACGCAGTGAACTTCTTTAGGTGACTCAGTGTTATCTGATGAAGGTCAAAGCATGGACGAAGTCTCGTCGTTCAATCAGGGTAATAATGTGAAGCATTTGAGGCTTGTGTACGGTATTAAAAGTAAAGTGCTATTTTGTAACACTTGATGTCAACGTAATAGATAAATAATGATGTCACAAAATTATTGATACATTGTAGCATGTTGTTTGTAGTAGGTAGATATTGGATATACCATACTCAATGTCATAATAAAGCTGACAGTAATTCCATAAGATGAATGATAAATCCAAATATATTTAAATTTAATTTAAAAGATACACACAAATAGTGACGTATTCTATGTAAATCTTAGATACTGTATAACGTGATATCTGGATAGTAAGGTTGAAAGTGAGCGCGACAGTGACTCAACATTTGTGAGTGAGACCTCTGTAGATTACGTTGAGCGTATTTCTCGCTTCTTTGTTTTATTGCTTGATATGTAATATGTGTTATTATTATTAAGCACCAAATTATTATGATGTCACAATAGTGATACATTGTAAGTAGATTATAAACTTGAAATCAAGGTCGATAGAACTTACTACCCTTATATTGCACACATAATTTTATATTAATGAGTTTATTATTGGAATAATCAAAGATTGTCGTAGTGGATAGATAATGAAAGTAATCAGTGACTCGGAATATATTGCAACATAAAGCAAGAATTCCATTAGTTTTGTTCTTGTGTAAAACATTAGAATAAGTTTCATTCTGAATTATGCAAACATACTCTGATGGAGCGCGACAATCATTGATAAAGTACTGTGCCTAAGGATACAAGCCAAATGGACAATATTTGATTCAAAACCCCAGACTCAAGGTTGGAGCTCAAACCTCAAGTACTACACCAGCCCCTCTCACATTATACGGTAATTTCATTAGTCTTTTTTTTCCACAGTATTTGTCAGATGCGCATTTGCCGTATGAAGGAAGAGTCCGTGCACCTAATAAAACATGTGAAATTATTCTACCAAGTGGACGCAAAAGGAACATTTCCACACAGAACCCAACTCAGGAATTTTCATGGTATGATATTCCAAACAATACATTATGTGTAATTATGATCGTTTTGACTCCTAATGTTTAATTTCACAGACTCTGTTGTCAACGCCATTGACATGTAAATAATGATCAAAATATGCTTATCTTTATCGTCCTAGTAATCGACATCATCAAACCAACACCGTCGCATCATTATCGTTTAAAACATGAACATCATCATTACCGTCATTACTTCATATCTTGTCAACATCATAAACTTCATCAATTCTCATTTTAAATTCAAATCTAATGAGAAAGGATATGAATTCATAAATATTTTTTCTTTAATGTTTTTACAATATTTTTTTACTTGTATGTGATCTTATATTGTCAATGTCACCAGTTATTAGTGGTATTGGTTAATATATGGTGGTGCACAGGTAAGCCTGAAAAAGCAAATTCCCTAATACCTCCCCCATGCAATTCACCACTAGAAATTTTGAAGCCCAGAGAGTTATGCTTAAGTAGTTAAAATCACCTCATATTACCTTATTTTGCAAGTTAGCACCCCCTCACTTAATCATCACCCTTCCAGTTAACCTTCCCCCCCCCCCCTTCCATATGAGATTTAATATCCAATGCTTTTTAATAGTATTAACAATATAAAGTACTTACAACAAGCACGAAACCTAAATTAAATGCTTGCAGTAATTGGATCAATGAAATGTTTGTGTTGAGTGATAACGAGTTACAACATACAATATCTGTCTCTTATACACATCTAGATGTGTATAAGAGACAGGAATTAGATGTGTTTTGACATTTAACGGAGTTTTGAAGATGAAATATATGTGATGACTTGTCCCGAACTAAATGCTCCTTAATCTGTGTTTGTATTGTGTCTATTGGTCTCGCCAATATACACGGAGTTACACCCCGCGCAAGTAAATTTGTAGACAACTCGGGCTCGGAGATTAGTTGGGACATAGTCTTTTAAGTTTAAAAAAATTGATAATTTATATGACTTGAAAGCAAGTCTGACATTAATGTTAGAGCAATAATTTTTGACCATAACGTTAATTTTTTTAACTTAAAATAAGAAGGTTGTGTTTGCGTTTTAGGAGGATCCAAAGTGATGGGCGATAGTTTTCTGTTCAGGTAATAAATCAAGATAGCCGTTCACACTGTTAAATTATACAGTATATAAATCATTGAAGAAAGGTAAATACAGTGGTTCAAATAAAGGACATAAATACATCGCATAGCATAGCTCTCAACGAAAGTTGTCTTATAAATAAATAAAGAAATTGTGTAATAAAATTCCTCTGACGAGATTCAAAACCTGCGACCTCTCGCTGTCAAGGTGAGCGTCATAACTATTAGAGCACAGAGGCTTTGTGGTTAAACAGATTCAAATAACATCAAATACACTCTATTACACAATAAGTACGGCTGGAAACAAATTATAGCATATAATATAAATCAAAATAGCCGTTACCACTGTTAAATTATATATAAATGATTGAAAAAGGTAAATACAGTGGTTCGAATAAAGGACGTAAATACATTGTGTAGCATATTTGTACATGTATTCTTGATATTAGAAAAGATACCAATATAAAATGTCTGTATAGGTAGACGTTGAGTGAATATCAGCATCGTCAACCTTATACTTGCTCTGCCCGAGGTGGACTCATATGTGGTGTATATTTTTACAACAGAGATTCTTGATTACACATAGGTATGTGAATTTGGCACTTGAGTGGGCAGAATGGCTTCACACGTATCAAAAGAGTTCACCAGAATTCAGTGAAGAAAGTCACAAAGACGGACACAGGTAAGCTTACTTGTAGGAAACATAATTACATATTATTATTGATATTGTATACAGTATGTATAGCACACTTGAAACTTCTCTGGCACTTTACAACAGCAGAAAATACTTATCTTATTGCAACTATGAACAATAAGCAGCTCTTTCTAGACCCCACTAGATGTTAAATTACTGTTGTTTTCACATGTGGGATGTGCTTATTAAGTAATTGGATTGGATTGGAATTATTCGGTGCAAACACCAAGGATAGCCAACGAAAGTCTAGAAGAAGTCTTTACTTCCAGTGGGGTCCTTCTGGTGGTTGGGTAGTACACCGGGAGACAATCTCCTACTCTTTTGCAAAGAGTGTACTGCATTCTTTAACATGCACATGGGCCATCAATGCACACAGGACCAACGGCTTAAACGTCTCATCCGAAAAATGGTGCGCTATTATAACTTGTATTTCATCCCTCCAGCTGAAATACAAGGAGAGGCAGGGATGAGAATTGAAGCGGGGACCTAGAGATCTCCACGGTTCAGCGCACACACAGTGGCCACCACCAGATTAGCAGACTGAGCTAAGCTGCTCTCCAGTAACAATTTAACAGTATACAAACTTAAGCATGTATACTTATAAATAGCAGCAGTTCTGCCAAGATGCATTCATTGTTGCATAAAGCTTGGTGAACCACATACTCAGCAAATAACAATTAGTGATTGCTAAAAAAAACAATAAATATCTACAATTCATTTGCTAGAAAATTTGCTGATTTCTTCATATTTTTTGTTTTGTATCAAGTTTAATCATTTTCATCCACATGTTTGGATTTCAACAGTATGGTACGGTGCATCATATTTTATCTAGTTTTATTAATATTTAAAAGTAGATTATCAAATGGGTTTATTTTTGTATCTGCCTGAATTTTGTAATTTTCACCAAAATATTTCTAAATGTTGTAGCTCTAAATTGATTATTTAGCTCATATACTGGGTTTTTAACCAGTGGTTGATAGTTTTGAATTGTGGTGTAAGTATATTACCTGTACAATAACAATGTTATAACAGGGAGCATTTGATACATGTCACGTCAGTTTCTGAAGCTAAAATTGTCTAATTTATCTGCTCGTGGCTCAAGAATTTCTCAATTAGGCCGACTCACTCCTGCAAACAAAATCAGTTGCTATATGATTAAGTAATTCAAAAGGTAATCTATTGATCTGAAGATTGTGGTGTAATCTCGGCTTTATCCCACTTAAGTTGGTTTGCCTCTCGTTGTTAGGCAAGCTTAATGTGCTAGCGGATCCAAGGATCATGGCGATAATCTCTTTCAGATGATTTGCACGTGATGTTCATTGTTAGATGTCGTTATAGAGCTATAGATGTTCACTGTAATGTTTATTGCATTTTTAGCCTTCCAAGGAATAAAACAGACAATTCCTTATCTTCTGTGAACTCGGGTCTCTGCCACCTGCTTTGTGGCATACTTCAGAATAAGGCATAAAAAATTGTTGTGTTGCTGAAGCACAGTGGCATTTTAAGAGCAGGGTTGGTTGGTTGTTTGGTTGGCAGTTTAGAACATTAGACCTAAGGCTAGACTTTCTTTATACCTTGTTTAGCAAACCTGCCGCCCACCAATAATGATGATTTTGAATAAAAATAACATTTTATTTTTGGCCAATTAGCACAGCTATTAACTGCCACGAAAAATGTATATTTTTTTATTTCTTTATTTTTGTTATGCCCGCTCTTGCCTTGAAACCTTCACAATTAATAAGATGTGTATATTTCTTCCTAATTATATTATATAAATTTAAATCATTTAATCATCCCTATTACTATACTGTTTACATTCACCAATAAAAGTGTATTTCTATCTTTTCCTCCATCTGGATGTTTTTAGCAAAATTGTTTGCTAAATAAGAAAAAAAAAATGTTATCTTTATTTTTAAACCGCCCTCCTCTGACGATCTTCTAGTGTTCATTGCTAATTGTCACTCACATCAATCATTTTGGTTCAGTAAAATAAATGTCGAAAATCCATAGTTAAAGTATCAAATTTATTAAATGAAAAACTGCCTTTTGAAACATCATACGGTTTGGTTTCCTAACCTCGAAGTCAGAGTTTCAATCTCTCGCTGAGCATTTCGCTTGTATCCTTGAGCTAGGCACTTTATCTGCATTGCTTCTCTTCAACCAGGAGTGGTATCTGGCAGTGGTGAGCTGACATGCGCTAGCAGCTTCAAATAGAATACTTCCCCAAGGAGTTAGGTTTTTGTTAATGATGTGCATAGAGGCCTTTATGATGTGCTATGATAAGTATTGTTGATTATAACATTGTTGAGAGTAGCCTGCAATAGACTGGTGTTAGACAAGTTAAACTCCAGCCCCTCTGGACCTAGTCTCCTAAAAAAAATTTACTTTCTTTTATGCAATATACTTTTAATGTGAAAGTGTTACGTTTCACCAAAGTCTTTTGCTTACAAAAGTTGCCAGATACATATGTCTTGGGTTAAATGGTTCGTAGACTTACCTGAACTTTAACCTAAATTTACAGTACAGTTTTTAATCTCCAGACATCATAAATATATCAACAACTTACAGGATAAAAGTTAAATAAAGATGCAATTATACTCCAATAAATCATTGTTTGCAATAAGTGCTTGTTTTTTTTACTACATCCATGTTTGATCATTTTCATTGTTAATAATCAATCATTGTCATTATCATTTTAATTATCATCATAAAATCATGATAGTAATGATAAAGTTGTAATTCTAAATAATAATACAGTAGAAGAAAATATCTGGATCCTCTGCAATGAATTTACTCTACAAAAGTTAAAACAACAAACTATGAATTTTATCACATTTCCGGCTTTTTTTAAAGAAATGATAATCTTTGGTTATGGTAATTCTTTGGTTTATAACCTGGTGCACTGCTCTAACATAGTTTTAATGTTTTAAAGGATTTTTTTTTTATGATCTGACAATTGAAATCCTGATTTTTATATTTCTTTATTCAACTTCAATTTGTATTTTAATGTATTTTATTATGCAGATTGCCAATAAAGTTTATTTATATTTTATATCAATAATAATAACTAATCAAATAATAGTAGTTAATAATAAATTGCTTTCGTATTTTAGGATATCATTTACATAATAATAGTATAAATAACAATAATAGTACTAATATATTATAATGTTTATTTTGGCAATTTTCTGTTGTAAACAATTTTTTTAAATAACCAAATATAAAAATATTCTAATAGAGAGGTTTCACACACGAATGAATACGTGTACGCATACGTTTAGCTACACCACCACCAAGGTCAAAGCACCGACATTTTGATACCCCAAAATGAGATGCATCCTATCATAATTTACTGCCTTCAAATGTCACAAAAATGGCACGTAGGTATTCAAAGATACATTTATTTTTTACACTTACGTAAAATGTGAAAAAATAAACAAAGATCCTACTAGAAATCCACAATTTCACTTACGTGTAGTGAGCGTGTCGTCCACACGTTTAGCGGACATCAGTCGGCATATGATGTCAAAATGATGACGTATGCGTCACACTAACCGTACGAGTTTGCGTGCGAAACCTCCCTATTATAAAAGTTAGAACCTACAAAACACTCAAAATTAGTGTGACCAGCATCAGTGAATAATTTACAAGCCCATTATCTTACCTATCGTCTATACTCGCGTATAAGGCGACCTGCGTATAAGACAACCCTCGAGTTTGAGAAGATTTTTTGATGATTTTTGGCTTATAAGAGGACCCCCCCCCCCTTTCCTACTTTTTTTTTGCTTTTATTGTATTGATACTGAATATTGCTGGCTAAATACGGAGCCCATGCAAGGCTAGTCATCCAAAACATACGAGTATATACGATATTAATTTTTAAAAATTTTATTTTACCAGTACATCATGAAAAAATATGTAACAATGATAATAAACACTGATATTTTGAATAATGTTTTTTTAAAAAAGCTTTTCTGTATGATTTTAACATTCAATTGTATATTTTATAACAATTATATTAAAGTTTGATATCTGATATTTTCTTGTTACACTAATGAATCACAGTAGGTAAATTTAAATTTATTTTTAGTAGGGACTATTAATCTCTGCTATCATAGAACAATTTTGTTTTCTAAAAAAGTCTAAAAATAATAGTAAAATTGATTTTTAATTTGTAGTTTGTTATGTTGAAATAGCTCCAAGGTTGCTGAATATGTTTTGATATAACTGTGCTATTACTATGTACTGTATTAACTAATATACAGTAGAATAACTAATACACAATAGAATAAAAAAAAATAAACTTATTGGACATGTTCACTTCTATTCAGTATGACAAAGTTATTAACCACATCAAGTTTTAAAGTGTGCCATCATTTAGGGGCATTCTAGTTTCATGTAAGGCCCTATAAAAAAATGATTAGTTTATATTTACTAAAAAAAAATTTTTCCCCAAAAAAATTTATAACAGATTTCAAAAAATATATATTTGTTCAGTACCATAGAATATATGCAAACAAGGGTGATAAACTAATTATTGTTTTTATTGAGCCTAATAAAACACAAGAAACATCTCTTTTTTTTTTCAGACTATTGCATAGTTTTCTGACCTGTCATTCAAGTGTAGTTTATTATTTATTTATTCAAAAATTCATGAGCATCATCAATACAGCCATATATTTAATAAATCTTGCGCTCGCAAATGTACAAATTATATATAAATTTTTAAAAGATATCTTACGCTGAGATTTCAGGGATTCTTTGACAAGAGTCTAACAAGTTCAACAGGGAGTCTAACCAAGGGGCTGCACAATTTATTAAAAATCTATAACTGACATTTAAAAAAAAAACGTAGTTTCTCGTCCGAATATTTTCAAAAAAGGAGAATGAGGGCACTTCTTTTTTTTTTTTTACTCCGAGATGGCAAATGGATACGCAAGGAGACGAGAAACTAGTAATTTTTTAAAATTGGCCTTAGACTAAAGTAC